AAATGCCCGCAGGTGAGGATAAAAAAACCATAAAGCGACCCACGAACACGCCCTGTGGGCGCCCGAGGGGCAGGAGGAGGGGCGTGAAGATCGTGGTCAATCGGCCCCAACGCGCGTTTCCCCAGTTTGGCTTTTTGCACCCACTCCTGCCGCTGTCCCCGGAGCCTCTCTGTCACCCATCTGCTGATGTGGCTCTGTGCCTGGGGTACTTCGGGGACCCCTCCAATCCGGGAGCACGGGCCACGCGCAGGATGCCAAGAGGGGCCAGCAGACCCCAGATGAGTACCCGCCCCGCGCCCCGGGTACACAGGCCTCGCAGGACAGGAGCAGGACAGGAGCAGGCCCGGGCCCACGCCTTCCCTCGCCTCATCGCAGTACAGCCCCAGGTGGACGCGAGAAGGCCCTCCAGGGCGGGGAGCAGATGGGGCTGCTCCGGACCCCCGCGCGGTCCGCCATCTGTCTGACAGTCAGCCGTCTGCCCAGGCAGCCCCTCCTCGGGCCACCATCTGCCACAGGCCTGGCCCTCCTCCCAGCTCCGCCAGGGCCCCGGGAAGGGGTGGGGGCACCAGCCAGAGCCAGGCCTGCTGCCTCGGTCCAGCCCCATCTGGCACCCCTGCCGGGAAGCGGGCAGGAGTCTGGACAGAGCACCTCCACTTGCAGGGAGAGAAGGGCAGGAGGAGAAGGGAAGGGGGGGAGAAGGGCAGAGGGAGAAGGGCAGGGGGGAGGGTCCCGCCTTGTCGGGCAGCCCTGCTGGGACTCAGCTCCCCGTCCCCGGCTGGCAGCCTCGGGGGCCCGGGTCCTGGTCTGCCCCCCACCCCCCAACATGAGCCAGGGGGGGCTGGTGAGGGAGCAGGACACCAGAGCCCAGCTCCGCCTTGGGGCCCCGCTGCCGGGTCCAGGCCCCGAGCAGCACCCCAAGTCTCACCGGCACTTGCTCAGTGGAAACTGACGCTGAGGGGCCCGGGCTGCTTGGGGAGCCCCCTCAGGCACACGCAGAGGGCCCCTGGGGGACGGCGGCTGAGCCCTGCCTGGCAGTTGGAGCGTGTGGGCAGTGCACCCACGAGGTCGGGGTGTCAGAGGGGACCCCAACCCCTCCTCTGCCTCGGGTCCCCCTCGCTCATGGAAACGCCCCCCAGCCGTCCTCCCTGCCCCCCTTCTATACAGGAAGATCGCTCTCCAGAGCCAAAAAGTCAGGGCGGGGTCCTACCCGGTGAGAGGTGCTGGGGCACAGGGGGGAGGTGCCTCCACCCTCATGGACCCGCTGGAGGCTGCCGGCCTGTCTGCTCCCACAGGCCCCCACTGTCCGCCTGCTCTGAGCCCCCAGGACGGCACCCAACCAAGAGGGTGCCCAGGCGGCCAGGGGACAGGAGCGGGACCCAGAGCCTCGGATGCCCAGCACCCCCACCAACTCGGCCCCTCACTCCAGTGACACCCAGTGTCCCCTGACCCTCGGGCCCCCATTGAGGGTCGGGGAGGGCGCAGACACCCAGCAAACGTCTGTCTTCCATGCAGAAGCGGCCTGCGGGAGACTGCAAGCCGGGCCTGGCTTTCATCCCCATCCCCGAGGGAGACAGGGAGACAGGGAGAGAGAGAAGAATAGATGGTGAGAACCAGGGATCCGCTGCCTCCTGCATGTCCCCCCCGCCCCCCCGCGCCGGAGACCGAGCCCACAGCCCGGGCCTGTGCCCTGGTGGGGAATCGCACCGTGACCTCCCGGGTCATAGGTCGATGCTCAGCCCGGAGGCAGGGCGGGGCTTTGGGTGGGTTGGTTTGTAACCCCCCCCCGTCCTGGCTCTCCAGCCGGGCTCCTTCCGTTTCCCAGCAGGGTCTGTGGTCGGCACCCCGCCCGCCTCTCACCGGATTCTGCTGAGACGCTGGTTGTCAGGGGCCCAACCTGGGCAAGGTCACCCCCAGAGACACAGCCTCTCCCCCTTGGCCCCCACAATGCGGCACCCCTCACCCACCATCCTCGCTTCCTGCAGGCGCCTCTGAGGGGCATCGGGAGGCCCTGGCCCACGACGGCAAAGCCGGCCCAGAAAAGGAACAGTGGCTGCGCGTGGCTGAGACCACGGGACGCGCGACCGCAGGTGGACACACAGAGAGAGACGAGAAGCCCCGGGGAGCCCGTCCGGGGCGTCAGGCCCGACGCTGGACGTGGGAACTGCTGATTGAAGGACATGGATGAGGGTCCCTCCTGGATGCAGGTCAGGTCCCCGCCAAACCCAGGAACCAGGTCGGTTTCTCCACGGACTTCCGGCTGCGCTGGGAGCGGAGGGCGGAGGAGCCACCGGCCGGCACCCCTGCCCCGTCCTCCTCTCCGCGGGTGGGGGCGGCGCTGGCCTTACCAACATCGACGCTGCACACGCCGGGGCCGGGCCCACCTGGGCCCACTGACCAGCGAATATGGGGGGGAGGGCCTCTGGGAAGCCCAGCCATGAAGCTTCCACAAAAGGCCAGCCAGACTGGATCCGGCCTTTACTTCTATTTCCAGGAACCGTGGGGACAGAGAGACGCCCCAAGGAAGCGGTCAGACGGGGAGCGAGTGGGCAGACTGGCCCCGGCCCCGGGACGTGGCTCCTCACTGGGCAGCTGCGAGGGACTTGCTGGCCTGGCGCCCTCTGATCGCCCGCCGCCTGTGCTCGCAGCACCGCCCGGTTGGCAACGCGCTTTCTCCAGTTGTTTTTAATTCTCACCTGAGAGCGCAGCCCTCAGCGTCTGCATCCGGGGCCCGGGCTCCGTGGGAGGGGGTGGTGGTTACAGAATCCTGCGCCCCCGGACCTTTAGGCAGCAGCTCCTCTGCCATCAGCC